GGGAGGGAGGGGGACAGGGACGGGGACAGGGACAGGGACAGGGAGAGGGAGAATGGACCATGGCGCACACAAGATCAGAGTACAATTTTGGGAAGTCAGTTTCACCTACCATCTTGTTGAAGGTGGGGTCTCTATTGTTTCTGCCAAGTTGCATACTCCAGGCTAGACTGGCCCACACGCTATCAGACAGTTCTCCTGTCCCTACCTCCCATCTTACCTTAGGAGTGCTGAAATTACAGATTTGCACCATCATGTGTTTTGTTTGATTAAAATGTGGGTTCTAGGAATCAAATCCAGATTGTCAGGCTTATATGGCTAATGATCGTACCTGCTGAGCCATCTCCCTGGATCATGTTTGGTTTTGTTTGGTTGGTTGGTTTTTTTGTTTGTTTGTTTTGTTTTGTTTTAGTTTTTCGATACAGGGTTTCTCTGTGTAACAACTCTGGCTGTCCTAGAACTCTCCCTCTGGACCAGGCTGGCCTTGAACTCACAGATCTGCCTGCTTCTGCCTCCTGAGTGCTGGGATTAAAGGTGTGCGCCACCACTATCTCATGATCATGTTGTTTTTTAAAACAATAATTTTAACCTGAAACACTTGAGTCATCTTCTTCACACTCATTTAGTGTTGCAGAGTGTCAATAATGAAATGCACATGTAGCTTGTGGGCATCCAAATGATCGAAAGAACCCCTTTCCCTCTTTATTTGCATGTATGTATATTTTTGTGTGTGATCTGCAATTTCAGGGGATCCAATGCCCACTCTGGTCTACATGAGCACCAGGTATGCACTGATACACAGACATGCATGCAAGAAAAACACCCATACACATAAAATAATAACATTTTAAAAATTAAAAATTAAAGGCACTATTTTAAAGGAAATTATTCAGTGACATTCAGTGCTTTCACTGTGCTATTCAGCCCTGGCCATATTTAGTTCTAGAGTATTTTCATTGTTCCATAAAGAAACCCCTGAATCTACTAAGTCATTCTTCATATCTGGACTCCCAGCCCAGTTTTCTGGCTATGAATTTGCCTCTTTCAGACTCATTATGTTTTATAAAGATTTGGGGGGATGGTTCACTACACAGTGACATTGTAGCAAAATAAAGGCAGCAAGAATTCTCTTATTTACACCCATGAATGAGAGAAAACAGCCACTTGGGGGCCACATGGAGGTGCATTTAGGGACAGGGAAATGGCTAGGATATCTTGTGCATAACAGGAATTGGGCCAGTTCCCTGTGAAACTGTAAGAGCCCCCTAGTTTTCTGGGATCTAGTCCCTGATTAAGAACCTGATAAGAAAGCAGACTGGGACCTTAAGGTAGGATGTGGTAGGAATGGGGGCTTAGCAACTGCCTATAAAAGACAAAGATTTTAGCCACAACTAAAAACTAAGTCAAGACAGCTCTTGTGAAATGTCATTACATCATATAAATGGAATCATAAAATATGTGGCCATTTGTATCTGGGTCTGACATTTTAACTTCACAAAAAATCCCCAGGGTTCATCCATATTGTAGCATACATCATAATTTCCTTCCTTTTATGCATAAATAACACTCCATTGTTTATATATACCACATTTTGTTTATCCATTTGTCTGTTGAATTGACTGTTTCTGCCTTTTGGCTAGTGTGACTGCTATGAATGTGTGTGTACAGGTTTTTAGTGTAGACACCTGTTTTTAATTATTTTGAGTATGCACTCAAGAGTGAAATTGCCTGGTCTTGTGGTAACTATATTTAACTCATTGAGTAACCATCCAAATGGATTTGTTTTCCTTGTGTTGGGGGAGAATAAGCATTGAGTGTATGTATGTTTCCACATGTGAGGATATACATGCATGTCAGTGCACATGTACATGCATATATGTATACATGAAGGCCGGAGGTAGACATTAAGTGTCCTCTTCAACAACTCTCCACCTTACATATGGAGAGACAGTCTCACTTGAAACTAGAGCTGGCCAACTGAGCTAGTTAGTGTAGCTACTTAGCTTGCTCCAAGGATTCCTGTCTCTGTTTCCTGTGTACTGGGACTATAGATGGGCCACCACACCCACCTAGCATTTATATAGGTACTGGATATCCAATCTCCATTCTTGATACTTGAACTATCTCTGCACTGAGCAATCTCCCTCCCCAGCCACAAATGAGGTTGTGTGTGTGTGTGTGTGTGTGTGTGTGTGTGTGTGTGTGTGTGTGTTCTTGTGTGTGAAGGCACATGTGTGCATGTGCATGTGAAAGCCAAAGGACCACATTAGATGTCATTTCTCAGGAGCTATTCACTTTGGGTTTTTGTGATGTCTGTCCCTTGTTGATCTATATTCGTTAGTCCAATGTTTGCCTTTACCACACCTTCTGCATAATCCAGAAAGGAGGGATGTTCTGTTGCCATTGTTCCTTGAAAAAACTTTGTTTCTAGGATCGCCCTGTTTACAGTCCCTTTTTAGATGAACTTGTTTACTACAATTGAAACATCTGACATTACTGTTTTTATTCAGACCTCTGGAAATCACCTCTCCTATCATCATGATCATGCGATTCAATATTGATTGTATCTAGGATCCATTCTTCCAAGGGTGCAGATCTTGCCTTTAACAGCCTGATTATTCTTTTACAGGCTGCATTCATGTTCTCAAAAGCCAGAGATTCATTTATTATCTGTCTAGCTTCTGAATTTGATATCATTCTATTTACTGCTGAAGACATCCTCAGTAAAGGTTTCTTTTAGGCCCTGTATAACTTTTGTACATGACTCAATTTTCTTGCCTACTTCTTCAATTCTGTTCTAAGCATTCAAAGCTGCCATGCACCATAAAGCTAAGGTGTGGTCATCATATAGACATTGCCTTTCTACATTAGCATAATCTCCCTCTCCAAGAAGTTGATCTTGGGAGATTTCCATACCTCTAGCCCTACTTCATTGTTCAATGGTCTTAGCCTCATCTTTCCACCAGATCCTCCACTGTAATTGGGGACCAGCCTCTAAGACAGCTGTCACCAAATCTCTCCAGTCTTGAGTGATAATTCTATTAAAGTTGACCACGAGTTTAACATCTGCTTTACAAAAGATGAGTGGATGCCATATGAGACTATTGCTTCTTTGAATCTCCTTAAATCTAACATTTGCACAGGAGTCCAGTCAGCTCTTACACAGCTTTGAGGATAATATCACTGGCTAGTTCCTGTAAAGTTACTAGATAGATTAAAGTTGACTGTTTGAAAGCCTTGGGCTGATTCTCTGTAACCATATAATGCAATGCTGAGATTGGTTCACCTTTAAATTCTTCTTTCTGGGTCTGAATATCTCTATGATCTGTTTTAACAAGTTTTTCTAAAACTTTTATTTTGGCACTGATATTAACCAACTTTTTTAATGATAAAACAGAAGTGATCAAACAAATAATATTTTAATTGACATTAATAAATCTCATCAACATTAATTATCTTCTCCTTCAATTATTCCATTTTTAGAACATCAATCGTATTATCAGAGACCAAACACTCTCCATTGTAAAAATGTTTTCCATTTTTTATTAAGATATTTTTCTATTCATTTTACATACCAACCACAGATTCCCCTGTCCTCCCTCCTCCTGCCCCCCAGCATTTCCCCCAACTCACCCCCTTTTCCTGCCTCCTCCAAGGTAAGGTCTCCCCTGGGGATTCAGCCCAGCCTGGTAGATTCAGTTGAGGCAGGCCCAAGCCTCTCCTCCCTGCACCAAGGCTGCACAAAGTGTCTCACCATAGGCACTAGGTTCCAAAAAGCCACCTCATGCACTAGGAACAGGTCTCCATCCCACTGCCTGGGGGCCCCCTAAACAGTTCAAGCTAAACAACTGTCTCACTTATCCAGAGGGCCTAGTCCAGCACCATGGGGGCTCCTCAGCTAGTGGTCCACAGTTTATGTGTTTCCACTAGTTTGACTAGTCGTCTCTGTACTTTTTCCAATCATGGTCTCAATATCTCTTGCTTATAGAATCCCTCCTCTCTCTCATCGATTGGACTCCTGGAGCTTTGCCTGGGACCTGGCCATGGATTTCTGCATCTGCTTCCTTCAGTCACTGGATGAGGGTTCTATGATGACAGTTAGGGTATTCAGCCATCTGATCACCAGAGTAGGTCAATTCAGGCACCCTCTTGACTATTGCCACTAGTCTACAGTGGAGGTATCTTTGTGGATTCCTGGGAATCTTTCTAGCACTCTGCTTCTCCCTATCCCCATGGTGTCTTCATTTATCATGGTATCTCTTTCCTTGCTCTCCCACTCTGTTCCCATTCCAGCTCAAAGCTCCCACTCCTCTAAGCTCTCATCCCCCATCCCTTGCCCTCCATTACCCCTCCACCCCCAGTTTGCTCATGTAGATCTCATCCATTTCTCCTTCATTGGGCGATCCATGTGCCCTTCCTAGGGTCCTCCTTACTAGTTAGCCTCCCTGGAACTGTGGGTTGCAGTCTGGTTATCCTTTGCTTTACATCTAGTATCCATTTATGAGTGAGTACATACCATGTTTATCTTTCTGAGTCTGGGTTACCTCACTCAGGATGATATTTTCTAGTTCTATCCATTTGCCTGCAGACCTCATGATGTCATTGTTTTTCACTGCTGAGTAGTACTCCATTGTGTATATGTGCCACATTTTCTTTATCCATTCTTCAGTTGAGGGGCATCTAGGTTGTTTCCAGGTTCTGGCTATTACAAATAATGATGCTGTGAACATAGTTGAGCCTGTGTCCTTGTGGTATGATTGAGCATTCCTTGGGTATATGCCCAAGAGTGGTATAGCTGAGTCTTGAATGAGGTTGATTCCCAATTTTCTAAGAAAGTGCCATATTGATTTCCAAAGTGGCTGTACAAGCTTGCATTCCCACCAACAGTGGAGGAGTGTTCCCCTTGCTCCGCATCCTCTCCAACATAAGCTGTCTTCAGTGTTTTTTATCTTAGCCATTCTGACGGGTGTAAGATGGTATCTCAGAGTCATTTTGATTTGCATTTCCCTGATGATTAGGGATGTTAAGCAATTCCTTAAATGTTTTTCAGCCATTTGAGCTGGTTCTGTGAGAATTCTCTGTTTGGCTCTATATCCCATTTTTTAATTGGACTGTTAGGTATTTTGATGTCTAATTTCTTGAGTTCTTTATATATTTTGGAGATCAACCCTCTGTCAGATGTGGGGTTGGTGAAGATCTTTTTCCATTCTGTAGGCTGTCGTTTTGACTTACTGACTGTGTCCTTTACTCTACAAAAGCTTCTCAGTTTCAGGATGTCCCATTTATTAATTGTTGTTCTCAGTGTCTGTGCTACTGGTGTTACATTTAGGAAGTGGTTTCCTGTGCCAATGTGTTCAAGACTACTTCCTACTTTCTCTTCTAGCAGGTTCAGGGTAACTGGATTTATGTTGAGGTCTTTCATCCACTTGGACTTAAACTTTGTGCATGGTGACAGATATGGATCTATTTGACACCACTGCCTGGCTTCTATGTTTAATCTAGTGGCTAGCTCTGTCCTCTGATCCTCAAGCAAGCTTTATTTGATACACAATATATCACCACAATCACCCCAGTTCTTAGCAACACAAACATCACTGATGGAGAGGCATGTGTCTGGGCCTTTTATTGCCTGTGTTCCCTTGCAACCACATCTCCACTCTCAGCCTAACATCACCTCTCGTCAGGGTGGCCCTACCCATCTCCTATAGATGCCATTCCACTGTGCCTCACAATGGCCCACTCTTCTCTTTCTGTTCACTAGCAGCTCTTACTCTACACCTGGAGGTTGTATGTGCGTTTGGTTTGTTTTTTTTTTCTTAACATGGATCCAGACATTAAAGGAAGATGAACCCATAAATGGAGCTTCCAGGAATGTCTGGAAAGTTGGAGGGATGGAATGATGGGCAGAAGAAAGAGATTTAAGAAAAGAAGGAAGTGAAGTGGATTGGGAAGACAGCTCAGAGGTTTAGAACACTAGCTGCTCTTCCAGAGGATAAGGGTTTGATTCCCAGAACCCACATGGTGGCTCACAACTATCTGTAATTCCAGTCCCAAATGATCTGACACCCTTTTCTGTCTTCCTCAGGTACCTTGCACACACATGGTACTTAAACATACATGCAGTCAAAATAAAATAAGTAAAATAATTTTTAAAAAGAAAGAAATGATAAAGAGAAAGAACAAGCTCTTTTGGAATGTTAGTCAGGGGTCCCTGACATGTGTGCAAGGTTGGTATATGATCCCTGGATTTTGGCCTGCTTGATAAGAAATGAAAAGCCTGAAAACTAAGTTTGGGAATGTGTTGAGAGCTGAATTGCATTGTGTCTCTAAAAAATGATAGTTTGATGTCTCATTCCCAACTTCCTGGGAAAATACCTTTATTTAGTAGAGCTCGGCAAATGTGAGTAAGGTGGGCGGGCCCTAATCCAATGAATAGTGTCATGTAAGACTAGGGAAATTTGGATCCAAGTGCACATAGAGAAGACAGACATGTGAAGGTTCAGGAAATGATTGTAAGGATGCAGCTACAAGTCAAATATCACTGGATACCACTCAATGGCTGATAGTGTCAAGAAGAGCAGCCTTCAGGATGAAGGGAAGACCAACCAGCACCCATACCTCAGGTTTCCAGCCTCCAGAACTGGGAGAAAATATGCATGTGTGGTTTTAAGCCCCTCTCCAGCCAGTGGTACTTTGTTGCAGTGGCCCCATCAAGCTGTAAGGAAAGTGTGGTGATCAGTGACCTAGGTGAAGCTTCCAGAGTGAGAAAGCCCATTGTCTCTTCCTACAAGGAGGGTGCAGGAACTTACCTCTGAAGAAGAAATCTGCCCTTTCTTTGGGACATATCTCACTCACACACACCACAGCCTTGCCTTGCCATGCTACTATTGGCAAGAAAAATAAACCAGGTTTTGAAGCAAGCTGAGGTTGGCTGCACCAGGCTAGCCTGATGTCACTAACTATCTTTGCACTTCTCTCAGCCTTTTAGCTGTGCTGTGGTTGGAGCCCTGACTATGGCAGCCCTTCTTCTGAGAGCAAAGCCCAAGGTAAGTAATCAACCTTTCCCTCACTGTCCCAGAATTTTCCCTGAGCAGTCAGTCTCCCTTTGCTGCTCTGCATGGATCCTGGCGAGGTGAGGAGAGAACTTTGCCACCCCCCAACCCCTGCGGCATGCTACTTTCCTGAGTTCCCTTTGCTAGGTTTTCCATATCTGTCTGATCCTCTTTCCTGTGACAGTACAACTTGCTGCTGAGTCTCTCCTGACTGCTGAACTCTCCTGAGGCAGGGTTATCCCATGTTTCATTGTTTGCATATAGGCTTAACCTGGAATTTAATTTTTATACCACAAAAATTGCTTGTTTTAGGTACCAGTATCTTTTGAGGATGTGTCTGTATACTTTACAAATACAGAATGGAAGCTTCTGAATCTCAAACAGAGGAATCTCTATAAGCAGGTGATGCTGGAGAACTACAGCCACTTGGTGTCAGTGGGTAAGTGACCCTACCATGTTCACACACCCAGTCCCACCTACTGTCTCTGGACTCACTTCTGAATTTTCTTGTTAATTGCTATGAATCCAAGAATAGTTCCATTTCTTTATTTGACCCATACCTTGTAGATCAGCTGTGGTATCAAAAAGAAGTTCTTCTAAATAAATTGGACTTGTAAATGCTCAGGATAAATTCAGTGATGACCTGTCAGACTCATTTTGCACAAAAAAATCATAGATTGCCAAAACATCTTTCTATTGAGAAACAGATGCTTATTACACTGGAACATTTACTTGCAGCATTTTAGACTCATTTCATTTTTACAGTAGCTGTATTTGACATTCAACTTAACTTATAGACGTTAACAACTTCTTCCACTTACACTGGCCATAAGTCCCCATGCTAGGGACAGGCAGTGCACTTGGTTTCCAAGCCTGGAGAAATCTAGGCAGGAGCTGGGGCAACTTCCAGCTGCTCTCTTCTTACTTCAACATGCTCCATCCTCCTTGTTTGTGCATCTGCAAGAGGATGTTCATCTTGCCAGTTCCAGGCAAAACCAAGATTCACAGGTTGTGTGAATCAACTCAAAAGCACCAAGAAGTGAACAAGAGTAATGTGTGTAGCATGAATCTTAGAAGGTCTTATTAATAAAATCAAACCTGAGCCAGGTATTGGGGTGAATACTGGAAGGTCAGAGAGACAGAACAAGCCACAGCTACCTCACCTCACCAGCTTCTCAGCTGATCCTGTTTCCTCAGACTGGAAGCCTCTCAGTCCTCATCCTGAATGAATCTCAGCTGAACTGTGCTGCTTGAAAGCCTGAAGCTTAACCAGGCCAAATGCTTTTAGTTTCTGGTCCTCACACCTTATATACCTTTCTGCTTTCTACCATCACTCCCTGGGATTAAAGGCTCGCTTTCTGGGATTAAAGGCATGAGTCACCATGCTTATCTGTATCCTTGAACAGAGGGATTTCTGCCTCTGGAATGCTAGTATTAAAGGTGTGTGCTACCACTGCCTGTCCTCATGTTTAATATTGTGGCTGTTCTGTTCTCTGACCCCAGGTAAGTTTATTAGTGTGCACAATATTTTGGGGAACACAATACCACCACAAATGTGTCCCAACTTCTTCCTCTAATGAACAGTGTCTAAGCCGGGGCCTTCCTCTGCTGGCATCTTCCTAGCTGAGATGGCCCCAGACTGCCTTTGAGGTGGGTAGGGATTTGTGAGAATGAGCCAGCTTCCATTTTCTTTTGGACTCTACAGACCACCTCTGTCATCTGACTCCTTGGAGGGAGACTGGTTCCTCTACTGGGTTCTCTCTGACTATCAAGAGAAAGTTGGGGACACATCTTCCCATAAGACTTCTGGAATTCTCATTTGAGTTTAGTGTGGAAACATGCTGCCCCAAAGCACATGTCTAGGGGGGATCTTCCTTGGCTATACTTTCTGGGGAGTTCTTTGCTCTCTGAAGACACAGGCTGAACTCTGTTTAAAAATTATTCTGTCCTTAGCTAGAAATGTGCTGATTTTCTTCATTTCTATGAACAGGATTTGCTTTCTCTAAGCCTAACCTTGTGTCCCAGCTGGAGAGAGGGGAGAAGCCCTGGATTACAGATGGTGGAAAGGAGACTGCAGCAGGATCCTGTGCTGGTGAGCAAGGTGCCCTCAGCCAGCTTGCTAGTGTAAAGGGTAAAAATCAAGGATTAGCCTAAGGAAGGTGGTGTGGATGCTGAAACTCTTTAGTGAGGGGTGTCAGTCTCCCCAATGCTCTCCTCCCTTGCTGGAGATGGGTGAAAAGAGACTTTGTCTGCCCTGGTGTCTCTCACCAGCTCCACCCCACTTTCTAGTCACACCCTCTAGAAAGAGCAGAAGCTCTTTTTTGGTGAGGATTTTTTTAATTATTATTTCTTGGTGTATTTTTTTGTATTTTTATTCCCCAGTTCCTTGGTGGGAAGATCAAAAGAGGGGAAATGCTCCACAAAAACCTAAGGAAGTGATCCCCTTTGTGGCTCTGTCATTACAGGGAATGGGATAAAGAGCAAGACACTGACTTCAAAGCCGAAACATTTTGGAAGAGGTCTCCTCAGAGACACCTCAGGATCCTTGGTGCAGAGACATACTCACGACTTCAGGCCAAATCCCATTGTAAGGTACCAGCACTCCAGAATCGCGGATAAGCGGTATCTGTGTCAGCAATGTGGAAAATCTTTCAGCCGCAGCTCCAATCTCATCAAGCACCGGATCGTCCACAGCGGTGAGAAACCATACGAATGCAGCGAGTGTGGGAAGTTATTCAGGCGCAGCTTGGCGCTGCTGGAGCATCAGGGCATCCACAGCGGTGACAAGCCCTATGAGTGTGGGGAGTGTGGCAAGACCTTCACACGCAGCTCCAACCTTGTCAAGCACCAGATCATCCACAGCAGCGAGATGCCTTTCATGTGCCAAGTGTGCGGGAAGGTGTTCCGGCGGAGCTTTGCGCTGCTTGAGCATGCTCGCATCCACAGCGGTGAGAGGCCTTATGAGTGCGGCGAGTGCGGCAAGACGTTTAGCCGCAGCTCCAACCTTATCGAGCACCAGCGCACCCACAGTGGCCAGAAGCCCTATGTTTGTCAGGAGTGTGGCAAGGCCTTCAAGGGCATCTCGCAGCTCATCCACCACCAGCGCAGCCACCGTGGTGACAGGCCCTTCTTGTGCTGCGAGTGCGGCAAGGCCTTCCGCGGCCACTCAGGGCTTAGCCAACACCAGCGAGTGCACAGCGGCGAGAAGCCCTATGAGTGCAGCGAATGTGGCCGGGCCTTTGGTCGCCGGGCCAACCTCTTTAAGCACCAGGTAGTACATGGCAGGGTGCCGCTGCAGCGTCGAGGCTGTGGAAAGGGCCTCCGCCGGGCCTGCATGCTCCTGGAGCTTTGGCACGGGCCCCGCGGACTTGGGCCCCAGGAAGCCGTGGAAGGCAGGTCCACCGAGCCCCAGCCCATTGACACCAATGAGAAGCCTCAAGTGTGTGAGCGCTGCAGCCATGTCTTTAAAAACAAATTGCTGCTGTGTCACCATTTGCGCATCCACGACAATGAAGATGACAAGAAACAGAAGCCAGTTACTGGGAGCACCTCAGGTTCGGAGGAGAAGTTGCTGCTCAGACAGGATCTGGAATCCCAGCTCGCAGAGGGAAGCAACATTGAAAGCAGTGAAAATTTCCTGTATGCTGAGAAGGCTCAGGGCCCATCCTCACCTTGAGGCAGGAATAGAGGGCAGCAACTCAGAATGACAGGGTGCCCCCACCCACCTAGTGTAGTCTTCCCCACTCCTTCCCTGATGGGTAGAAAAGGAAGGCTCCTCCCTAGTCCTTGATGATACAGTTGATGCCTAGAGATTGCACAGGAAGGCTCGTCAAGGAGCCTAAGCAGGGCACTCCTGTGTGCGCTTGGGTATATAAGTGCCTATGTGAGTGGGGTCTCCAGGAGAGCAGATTTGCATAATACAGAGTTGGTCTCTCCTATCCACGTGAGAATTGCCTGATGTGGTTGGGAGGAAAGCAACAGTGTCCAGCCAATTCTAAGCACAGTTACATTGAAGTTTACAGAGGGATGACCCATGACCTTTCTCTTGTTAACACATTAGTGGGGTGATTGCCTCTCCTTAAGAGCTGTTTGTGTTTCTAGATAGAATATACTAAAAAGCACTTTATTCTATTGAAAGTGTATAAATTGAAGGGACTCTAAAGGTGGCCTGATGCTTTGCAGGGAAGCACAGAGGCACTTGTTGTCCTGGAGCATAAGCTAGACTGTCTGGGAAAACTTGGACCCTGTGTGTGTGCTGCTTGGAGGTCTATACCAAAGCTTGCAGAGGTTAAGGCCCAGAAACCCTGAGGGCCTCCTTTTTGGGAAAGGAGCCCCCCCTCTGGTTTAGGTAAGACATGGCAGCATTTGAACCCCCACTGCCCTGCTGACTTCAGTTTCCTCCTCTCCCACTCAGTGAAGGCCATACTGGCCATTCCTACTGCCTGCCCCAGTGCCTAATGCTTCAAATTTGTCTGCTGATCCTTTTCAGGCAATCCACTGTGTAGTGATGACAGGTTAGAAATTTGCACTTAGGTGGCCCCTGAAATGAGTCTGGCCAGACAATTATCTTTCAGATGATATTTCTTAGAATATTAAAGTTGCCATTACTTTAATGTGCTTTCATTTGGGGGTAACATTAGTTGAAAATTGAGATTTTTTTGTTATAGGAGAGTGTTGGGGGATTTATCTTTTATAAAAATTCCTCAGACAGAGGGTGTAGCTCAGAGGTGGAGTGTATGCCTAGCAGACCACAGGTCCTGTGAGCCATTCCTGCCCCTGCCCCTGCCCCAAGAAAAGCTCAGACAGGGGGAAGAGGCCTTCCCAACCCATGATTGATGCCAGTAGTGGCAAACCTGGCCCTCTGAGTGATGATGTGACAACCCCCACCTCCCTTCCCTTAAGCCCAGCTGGCTCTTTAAGTGGCACTTTACTGAAGAGGAAGCCAGTGGCAGTCCTATTCCACCTTCCACCTGTGCTGTCCCCAGGATAGCTGTCCCTTGGTATACTCAGCTCAGCATCCTTGGTAGCAAGCTACTCTCCAATTCTCTCCTATCCCAGGGGAGAGAAAGATTTTGTCACAAAGGCTGCCTGAGGGTAGGTAGGTTGGTGGTACAGGTGAAGTGGAGACAGCTCTTGGGCACTCCAAGGAAGAGTGGTGGCACCTTCCCTGCCAGTTGAGTGAGGTTCAAAGACAGCTGTATACTGCCAAGAAAATATGGGAAGACCTGGAAACCCAGGATGCTGGTTGGAGTCCTGGTCACAAGAATATTCACATGTACACACACACAGAGAGAGAGAGAGAGAGAGAGAGAGAGAGAGAGAGAGAGAGAGAGAGAGAGAGACAGAGACAGAGAGAGAGAGAGACAGAAAGACAGAGAGACAGAGAGACAGAAAGACAGAGACAGAGACTTTATGTATATAAAATGTTTTGTGTAAAGTTCCAGTTTGTAACTTGCTCTTATCTCTGTGTCCTCCAGTAGATCCCCATCTTTTTGTCGTGATTGCTTTCTTGTCTGCAAGCCTGAAGATGTGTGTCATGCTCAGCCTTGTGTCTGCACTCCAAGCCCCACTGGGTACTGCTTTCTTGGTATGCTGGATTTGAGCTATGTAGTGGTTGGCTTCAGTGGCTCATGGAGGCAGTTCAGAGTATCTGTCACTTTGGTTTCCCAATAGAAAAGAAAATACTAAGAACGGTGTCTTTTAAGTCTCTGGTGAAGTAATTGCTCAGACAATCTCTGCTAGGGCTGGCACAGATACAGGAAACTAGGCCTCATGCAGAACAGGTGCCCACAGTGCGAGGCTCTGTGCAAGCTCTGTCACATGCTCTTGGGTGTTCATTTCCATGACTCTATGAAGTGAATGAATGATACCTATCCTCCAAGCCAGTCACCAGCTTCTATACCCAAGGATAAGTCCCTACAGGAAGGGTCATGTGCAGGCATTTTCAGCAGAAAGTGGGGTCTGCAGGGAGAGACATAGAGCACTTCAGAGTGGAGTACCCTGAAATGCTCCAGGGTCCCTGGTGGTTGCCTACATACATAACAACACATCTCTTTCAGTTCTCTAGTTCCTGTTCCTAGATGTTTTCAGCCAGGCAGTTAGGAGTAGTTAGTTCTCTCAGGCATGTAAAATGAACAGAACAGATATCTCCTGGAATAAAGTCAGAGTAACCAGAGGAACACTTGTTTTGTGCCTGAAAATTGTGCTTCATCCATCAAGCTGGATGGGGAATGGGGCTGATCACTCATTTGTGTGTTTTAAGGGGCAACTAGATTATAAAACCTTAAACTATCAAAACTCCTGCTGTTTTCTACTTCCTCCTCTTCTTGCCCGGCCCCCATACTTACCTTTGGACTATTTGCCTTGTAAGACTTTGGGTGCTTTTCAGGTGCTGTGTGAATGTCCTAGCAGTCTCTCCAGGAAACTGATAAGTGGTCCTCTCTGAATTTATCAGGAGATGGAATTTTCAACATTTTTGTTGGTTGAAAAAAGACAGCTACTTGGAAAGGGGCTCCCCTGTGGTGATATATTGTGTATCCTGATAAAATTTGCCTGAAGATCAGAGAACAGAACAAGCCACTAGATTAAACATAGAGGCCAGGCAGTGGTGGCACACACCTTTAATCCTAGCACACCAAATGGATCTCTGTGAGTTCAAAGCCACGCTGGACTACATGAGATTGATTCAGTCTAGGAGAGAAAACAGAGCCAGGCAGTGGTGGCACACACCTTTAATCCCAGTACTGGGAACCACATGCCTTTAATCCCAGTCCTAAAAAGAAAATGATATGGCTAGGTGGAGAAAGGTACATAAGGCATGAGGAGACAAGAACTAAGGGCTTTTTCAGGCTGAGGAGTCCTAGAGGTAAGATGTGGCAGTGGCTTGTTCCTTTGTCTCTCTGATCTTAAGGCAAATTTTATTAGGGTACACAATATATCACCACACTCCCCCATGTGGAGAGGGGCTGTCCCCAGGATTAAAGTAAACAGACAGGTAGTGGATTCAAGGTTACAAGCAAGAGTCAACTCTGACCTAGAAAGAGCCTTGAGTGATGCTAGGGTTATTGAGAAGGGGTTGCTTCCCATGTGGGAGGGCTTGGCTTAGTCTGCCCAGGGTGCAAGCTTCTCATAGGACCCCATACTGCAACTCTGAGACCAGGCCTGCCCAACAGGTTCCATATCAGAAAACTCCATCAGTCTCCTAAGAGGCACCACTATGCTTGCCTTCTGTTTTTTTCTGCTACCAAGTTTCAGGCAGCATGGAAGCATCCACCCTTGCAGCTTTCCAGACAGGGAGTAGAATATAGGGATTTCATGTGTGTGTTTGGGGGGTAGGGGTGGTTGCTGAAAAGTGCCTTGGTTGGGAGCGGAGAGGATGGAATATAGTATTAGGGAATCCCAGAATACACATAGGTTTCTCTAGGACAGTTCTGAGTCAGGAATTCAATTACTCTAGAGTATGGAGCACCCAGGGTGCCATGTATAGAAAGTCAGACTCTATAGCTGGTCCCAGATGAAGACCAATTTTTCTGAACAAGAAATGAAGCTAGTGTTAATGAGAACTGCTATGGGGTGTGAGTGCACACATCACCAGCCACTATGGTCATCTAGATAGTTTTGAGGGCTGTGGAATAGCCATATAGAGACAAGCCATGAAGAGGTAGTGTGGAAGAAGAGGAAGGAATCAAGGGATCCTACCCACCCACCTTCCTCCAAGTTTTCACTTGCCCTGGCTTCATGTTTTTGTGAGCCCCAATTCATCTGTGATTCCACAAAACAATGGCCCTCTGATATTCCTGGACACTTTCTTTGTGAGGAGGTTTCTTTGGGGGGATGTTGTTTTAAGCCTGTGTAATCCAAACTGGCCTTTGACTCTTAATCCCCTGCCTCTACCTCCTAAGTGCTGGAATTACAAATTTGGGCCACCATGCATGGCTTCTGCAGATTCTTACATTCTTATATTAAAAGTAGCATCAAGTTCAAGGCCTTGCACATTTGCAAGAACAGTGCCTCTTTTTTGTGTTCAATGGGGTTAAGCCTATTCCCTCTCCATCACCTGAGAATGTTGAGAGCAGAAATGAAGGCTTACTGTGCATTTGGAAGCTCCTGACTCATTAACGTTCTTTGATAGATAGATAGGGGTATATACAGCTTAAAGTATGCAATTGTGGATGGATTGTGATGGGTGTCTGTACCCTTAAAACCATCCTTACTGTCAAGTCAGTGGAACATTCAGCATCTTAGCCAATATCTTCTCCTTTCTGCTCTTCCTCGTCCCCTGTCCTTACAGCCACTGCTTTCCATCACTAACGATTAACTTCCATATAAATGGACTTTCACAGTGTTTGTCTGGCCTCTCAGTGCCATTTTTAGATGTTTCCAGGTGTTTGTGTGTATATCCACACTTCTTATTTATCCCATTGTACACATGCCCCCAATATTGTTGATGCCTGTTAATTAATATTTACATTCTTTCTGATTTGAGACAAATAAAGCTGCTATGAATATTTGTATGCACATTCCAGTGTGAACGTATTTTTAATTCCCTTGAGCACATAGCTATGAGTGGAAGAGCTGGTTCATATGGTGACACATTGTTTAACTTTTGGGAAGAACTGACAAACTTTTCCAAAGTGTTTGCATTATTTCATATCCCCAATAGCTGTTGGATGAGAGTTCCAACTTCCCCCACCTTCATCAACACTCACTGTTGTCTCTCTTGGTGTAACCATCCTAGTGTGGGGGAAGTTGCAACTCATTGTGGATTTGACTTGCATTTCCTTTATGACTAAAACATTGAACACCTTTGCACGTATTTGTTGGCCATTCACATTTCTTTTCTCTTGCCCATTTTAATCGAGTTGTTTGTATTCTTACAAAGAAATTATAGACATCAGTTCATCATCAAATATATTTTACCAAATATTTTCTTCCAGAATATGTATTTTAAAATTTTAGTTTGTATTTTTGGGTCACAGTCAAGAACTCTTAACAACAACAAAAAAAGTCACTAAGATATTATCTTATGTTTGCCTATAGAATATCCATGACTTAGATTTTGTTGTTAATAGCCTTGGGGTTTTGTTTTGTTTGTTTGGGTTGGGTTTTGCTTTGTTTTATTTTTCGGATGGGGTCTCCCTATGTTGCCTTGGCTTGTTTGAACTCCTGGAGTCAAGTGATTATATTGCCTCCACCTCTGGAGTGCAGGACTAGGCAGGTGACACAACATTCAGCTTTGAATGCAGAACATTCTCTCCTTTTAGTGCAGATCATTCTCTCCTTCTTCCTTCATGCAGACTATTAAATAACTCTTTTTAAGTCAAAGGATGCTAGGACTGAAAACAGCCTATATATGAACTCTAATTACTCTGGGAACTATGTGGCCATAGCAGTTTACCAACCTGCTCTTATTTCCTATCAGGGAAGAGTTTTACTAATCAATTTGGGGAGAAATTGGGAGAAATAAAAGACGGTTTCCTTATAACACCAAACAGCCCACACTGTAAAATTTAAATGAAATCTGTATCATACTTAGTTTCTGGATTTTCCCTCTAAAATTCAAGATGCCCCAGGGACCTAACAAAATTGAATGAATCTGGTGGAGAAAAGGAAAGGAAGGGGTAGGAAGTTACAGGTTGTACATTTATCTCTATTGTGAAGAGTCATGTGAGAGTTTCAAAAAGCATTTTGCTCAGCCTGAAGACTTAGACTGTGGGGCGTTTACCCACCACCCCCACAGCTTCCCAGAGTTTTCTTGAGTGCGAGCAGCAGGAAATATTAGATAGAAGGATTTATAGCGGAGAGTATCACGGAGATAAACAGATAGAAAATAAAGGATAGCCTTGAGAGGGCCTGGAACCTATTCCAACGGGCCCCGACTATCTCT